GGAGCTCGCCAGGTATTGGGGCCAGGTGCACAAAAAGGTTGCTGTCTCACGGGATGCTTTGAGGTGCTTTGAACCGTTCGTCCAAGAGGTCCCCCCTGAGATCCGCTGGGAGTTGTCATTCGACCAGTTCTTGAATATGATGGAACGGATTCCAGACAGCGCGCCTGGACCCGACGGCATTCCGTTCTCTGGATGGGCTCGCGCGGGCGACACGGCCACCAGGACACTTTACTCGCTCTACCTCCACATACTCCAGGCTGGCTCCACCCCCCTCAACTTTAACGATGCCATGGCAGTCTTTCTCGCGAAGGGCGACGGGCCCGCCGACGCGAGCTTCGTGGTTCGGGCTCCAGAGAAGACACGGCCGATTTCTTTCTCGGACACGGACAACAATATTGTTTCTGCTGCGATCAATATTCCTCTCGGGACCGTTTGCCAACGTGTGGTTTTTCAGCAGCAACGGGGCTTTGTCAGGGGCCGTCAGATGCTAGGAACCATCCTGGACCTGGAATCCAAGTGTCTTCACTGGCTAGTCCAGCAGAGTATGCAGAATTGCGGCTACGTCTTTTTCGATGTGAAAGCGGCGTTCCCCAGCTTGATTCACGCGGCCCTCATGTTCACCCCGCGTAAGATGCGATTTCCAAGGCATGTCATAAAAGCGATCCAGGCCCTGTACACAAATGTTTTCATCGCCGTCTCTTTCAGGGGCAATCGTAAGCACGGCTTCATCCTGGCCAGGGGCACCAAGCAGGGGTGTCCGATGTCGGGCTCGTTATTTGCACTGGCGCACGATCCCATCTTGCGTGCGCCGGCGTGTAAGCTGCCGAGACCATTGCATGAGCTCGGGGCCTTCGCAGATGATTGCGGCATGGCCAGCAGTAACCTCGAAGTGTCCTTCCCGATCGCTATCGATATCCGGATCTTGGCTGGAGCGGCCTTCGGGCTGCACATACACATCAAGAAAACGATCGTCGTCTTGGTGGGGAATTACTCGGAGCAGGAGTTTCGAAAATCGACAGCTCGCCTAGGGAAACTTGCCAAGTGTCAGGTCTGCACGGTCGCGAGGTACCTGGGGATCATGATGGGGGACAATGGGTGTTCTGAAAGCTGGGCCTGTCCAGTGGCCAAGTTCAGGGGGCGCTCGTACATGGCCCAGGGGCTCGACCTCGGGCTCGTGAAGTCCATCTCGCACTTCAATATGCTCTGCATGTCTGTTCTGACCTATGTCGGGCAGCTGCACGCGCCCACGCCCGAGGTTCTCAAGGAGGAGGAGAGGATGCTTCAGGTCATTGTCCGCGGGCCCTTCAATGCCATCCCGTCCCAGGACCTTCAGAACCTTCAGAGCATTGGGTTTCCGATTCAGGCCGCGTCTGTGCGTGTGCGCAGTCAGGCTGCTCGTTCTCGTGTCGCTGAACGCGTTGAGGCTTTCTCTGAGGCAGTGGGGCTCCTTTTCAGCTTCAGCGCCACCGACGAGTGCTGCATTGCATGGCAGAATCACCCGATGTGGAAAGGTAGCGCGATGAAAAACCTGTACGACAATTAATTATTTGGCGCTCACCAGAACCCCTGCCGCCCCGAAAGAGGTCCCGCACATCCAGCGTGCCGTGGGAAAATATCTCACCAGCCTGAACAGCCGGGGCCCCCTCATCACGATCATGAAGCGCGTCGAAAAGCTGGGCAAGCCTCTGAGTAGGAGTGAGGGCCAACATCTTAGGCTCGCCTTCTCCAGGATCAAGGATAAGGTCCCGTCCTGTGTTCTCTCGGTGCTTTTAAAATCGCTTTGTAATTGTTGGACGTGCAGCGGGCGTTTCAAGGGTGCCACCAAACCTTGTATAGCGTGCGGGCTCGATCAGGGTGACTCTCTCAAACACATTATCGAGTGCCCTCGCTTTTCGGTTGCCAGTCTCTTCCTCCCTCTCCTCCCGTCGGCCTTCATCTACTCCTCGTCTGTCCAGAAGCTTCAGTTGTATCGACTTTTCCCGATCCCGACAGATGCCCTGGTCAGTGTTGCACTGTACTTTGACCTTATATATAGTGTTTACCACCACCTCAAGCACCGCTCGTGCACGTCGCAGGCTATCTTTTATAGTACCAAAGCCCGAATCTCGCAGCTCGCCCGTCGTCAGAGTAATCTGTCTAGATATCTCGGTCAGGTTCACTGGGGGCCCGTCCCAGGCAGGCTCCGTCGTCATCGGCAGGTCTCACTGCCCGCTGGACATGCAGGACCGCCGCCCCAAGGTTTCGAATGCAGGTCATAGCATTCTTAGCCTTCCCCCGATGCGAGTTCCCTCCTCCTCGTCCTCCTGCTCGTCGTCGTCCTCCTCCTCTTCCTCCTCCGCCTCCTCCTCCTCCTCCGCCTCTTCCTCCTCCTCCTCCCCCTCATCGTCCTGGTTTGTTTTGTCTCACCCATTCCTCCTCCCCCCTCCCTTCTTGATCGCCCCCTCTTCCCATCCCTCCTCCGTCCTCCCTCGTTCATATTTCCTTGTGTTTCCTTCTGCCTTGTTCTTCGGAGCCCGCTACCTTTGCCTTTTGCAGCGCCTGTGCCTCGTCGAGATCGACCTTGCCCGGACGACTTCAGCCTTGCGCACCTGGCAAGGCAGCATTGTCCTTCGCAAGATTCCCTTGAGCCTGAGGCCGCAGCACTCGGGTTCAATAGTTACATGTTCTGACGACGCAGTCTTTCTTTCTCCCCCTGGGAGGCAGCGATTCCTCCTTTTTCTACATCCGCTCTGGTGCACAATTCGCTTCGCTATGGCCCAGCGCTAACTTGAACGATTTAAGCGTTCGCCGAGTCTGCGACAAAAACAAGTTTGTTTATTACGTCCTTGCCATCCCGCTTCCTCCCTCCCAGCTCGTTCTTAGTCTCTCTCTCTCTATCTCTTCTCCCTCCTCCCTCCTGCTTCCCTCCTGCCTCCATCCTTTTCATATCCCTCCTCCTTAGACATCATTCCTCTATCCCTCCTCCGTCGCCCCTTTTTCCTCGCCCTTCCTTCTAGTCCCTCCTACTTCCTCCTTCCTCCTTCCTCCCTCTTCCCTTCCTCGTCCCGCGTCTCTCTCGTCTCCTTCCTCCGGCCTCCTCCACATCAGTTTCCCTTTCCCTCGCCCCTCTTCCGCCCAAGGGGACCCAAAGAGCTCCCCCCCAGAAGGCCCCAGATACGGCCCAGGATGACGAGAGCACGCCCGTCAAGATGGCTCCGAGGGGGTGCCAAGACGCCCAAATATGCCCTCGTTCCTCCCTCCTCCCTCCCCGTCCCCTGCCTCGCCCTTTTCTCTTCGCCGCCCTCTCTCGTCTTCACTTCGTCCCCTCCTCGCCCTGTCTCCCTTCTCGTTCCTCCTCGTCCCTCCTTCCTCCACGCCCCCTCCTCCCTCTTCGTGCCCTCCTCCCTCTTTGTCCCCTCCTCCCTCCTCGCCCTCTCCTCGCCCCCTCCTCCCTCCTCTCCGCCGCCCGTGGAGGTGCCGCAGATGTGCACCCACTTCCTGCGCGACTCGGTCTCCCACCTGACTGTCGGGGCCCCCTGGAAACTGATCCGGGAGAGCGCCCGGCCAGAGGACCGCCTGGTGAGGGAATCCCTCTTGGCGCCCCGAAGAAGAAGGGAGGAGGAGGAGGAGGAGGAGGAGGAGGAGGAGGAGGAGGAGGAGGAGAGAACGGGGGATATTGGAGTCCCTCGGGGTCGAAGGCGCGCGCGCGCGAGGCTTTCACACTGAGTTTGCGCGTGTATATTTTAATGCTCTGTGCGCTCTGTGGCGTCCTCCTCTTCATTTTTCTCCCCCTCCTTCGTCCCCTACTCCTCTCCCCAATCCCCTCCCTCCTCTCCTCCTCCTCCTCTTCCTCCTCCTCCTCCTCCTTCTCGTCCTCCTTGAACGAACGAACGAAGCAGCCATACGCCAAAAGCGCGTGGGCAAGGACGAACAGAGCGAAACGCCAAACGCGTGCAACGCCAAGCAGCCTGCCAAGGTACAGAGACACGAATCAATGTTCCACTTGCAGCCTTTCGTTTTCGCTGTAAAGAGCAACGTGTGTAACACATTCAGATTTATGAGTTTTCGTCAGCGAGGCAACAAATCAAGGCGAATTCGGAAGAGAAGCACTTGTGGATTTTATTGTATAAGCACTTTGCCCAGTCGTGTCTTGGACGCCCGGGCGCCCGCGAGTACAAGGCAGCGACAGGTTTCATACCATCTGGTTGAAACGTCAATTTCCTCAGCACACCTTCACCATTTGCCCGTCCTATCTTCCCAAATCATACCAATTGATGCTTCAACAGTTGAGAGTTGCATGGCTGCACCCCGGCGTTTTCCAAAACTGTTTTATCTGAGATTCGTGAGATGTAAGAGTGGTGTATATTCAGAAATTGCAAGTTTTTTTCCCTCCTGGGGGGGACCAAACAAATTATCGTACTCCTTTTCCTGCTCCTCCTCCGCCACTCCCTTTTTTCACACTCCCATCCTCTCCCTCCGCCGCCTCCTCCTCCTCGCCGCCGCGGGGGGCGCAGGGAGTGACGGCCAGGGGGCAACACATGGGGGAAGGGGGAGGGGTTAAGAAGGAAGTGGAGGGCATAGAGTATAATTGTTATCGCTGCCAGACCAATCAGAACTCGCATAAGTGCTGACGCGCTGTACATGACGCTGGAAGTAAAATACATAAAGCAAGAGTCACGCTCACACACTTGGTGCACTTGTGCGTTAGTCAGCCCTAAGCCCGCGCCAGAGCCAAACGCCCGAACCAGTCACGGCACGCACCATGTCCTCCAGCAGTATGTAGTTAATTCCAATACACCTACCACAGCGCCCCATTGGCACATTTCGTGCACCTCGCATTGATCAGTCGTAAATCAGGCACCATGCGCTATCAAAGCGCCCCGTTGGCACATCCAGTGCGCCATCTATTGCACCACGGTTCAAGACATTAACTCGGATGATATACTTGGCCCCGCAATATTCATCTCTACGGGCCCCCCGTGCAGCCCACCCCCGGCGCGCGTGGTCCTGATGCTCTCGACGGGCGGCATGTACTCAAAGTTATGATCCTCCACGTAGGCGCCGTGAAGCTTCGCGAAAGAGAGGACAAGGAACTTGTTACTCAGGCGCACCATCTCATTCAGCGGGCGCGCGTATGCCCTGAACCACGAGAAGGACTGCTCAGCGACCTGCGTGTTGATGCCCTTTGAGGCGGCTGCTCAACCGCTGGATGTGGCACGGGTTGCATGGGCAGTTGCTGGTATGGCCCTTTTTCGCGTGCATCTAGTCCACGGACCAGTATTTGATGAACTGCACGATGCCAGTTTCTTAGCAGAGACGTAGAAGGAGCAACACCCGTCGTACACGAATGTGATCACGTTGGGATGCTTCTCCAGGGCCCGCGTCAGTGCCACTGCCGCCACGCCGTTGCCCTCGGGGTTTTGCTGGTCGATCGCAGCCATGATCCGCCCCTCTGGTGTGAGGACCATGGGCCAGCCATGATTGTGGTGCATGCGGCGGACCGCCTTGCTCTTGCTGCGGTATTTCGCCTGCTTCTTGATGGCTGCGGCGGAAGGCTCCTTGCGCGCCGCTGCGGCGGGCGGCCTCTTGCGCACCGACGCGTCGGACGGCCTCTAGATGACTGCCGCTTTCTGCCTCGTCGTGGTCTTCGGGCGTAGGACGGGCTTCTTGAGCGCGATCTTGCGGATTCTCTTCATGGCCCTTTTCGTCTCCGCGGGCTCCTTTTGAACGGTGCGTTCCTTGTAGTCTTCGTCGCTGCACTTTGTCATGACCTTCTCGCGGCCGCCCCGACGAGTGCTGTAATCTTCTTCGGGCGCAAAGCGGGGGGGACCTTATTGTGGTGGTGAATGCCCAACTTGGAGAATGCGTCGTCGTTAATATCCGCAAGGGCTTCGCCCCCTGCCGCCAGTTCTGTCTCTGTCAGAATGGGCGATGTCAGAGCTATGCTGGAATTCCTTGGCGCCTGCGAAAAATGTAGGGGCCTCCTGCGAGGGCGATTGGTAAGCGGCAGACTCAGGTTCAGCACGCATGGTTGAAGTTCGTTTTGTTACAATCGGATTCCTTGTCGCGCCATGTATTGGGGCAGCGATCCGGGGCTGCTCGAGGCTACGTTGGGCAACGTCGCGTGGCTTTGGCTGCCCTCTTGGGGCGCCTCTTGGAAGCCTGTTGGGACGGCTTGGCAGCCGCTTGGGGCCCTCTTGCGCTCTCGCGAGGCTGAAAGCTCAAATATTTGGTTCGCGGTCCCGCTTTGGGCCTCTCTTCGTGCCATCTCCAGGGGTTCTTGAGCCGTCTTGGGTGCCTCCTGAGCTGTCTTGGTGCCCTCTGGAGCCGTCATGGGGCTCTCCCGGGGACGTCTTGGGCCGTCTTGGGGTGTTTTTTTTTTTTTTTTGTTGGCTTCGACGGCGCGAGCGCCGCGTAATTGATTGCAGATCATGGCCCCGATGGCGAGAATCTGCGTTAATTCCCGAGGGGTCGCAGCCTCGAAGGAGAGACTGCCGTGTAATTTACGACGGTTTATGGCCCCGCGGACGCGCTGTTTTAATAATTTCCGAATGGATTATGGCCTCGGGGACGCGGTTCTCGATTGCTCTAATGTCTTCGGGGGCGCGAATATTGCGTAATGTGCAAGAGTTTATGGCCTCGAGGATGCAGCTGTTGTGCACTTTGCAAGTTGCATGGCTTCGGGGGCGCAAATATTCCGCAACGCACGAGCGCTTGCGGCCTCGACGGGGGCGAATATAGTGTAATTTGCGAAGTCGCATAGCCTCGGGGCGCTAGCTTTCGCTTCATTTGCGGAGGGGTGCGGCTTCGGATACGAGAGCGCCGCGTAATTTACGAGGGTTTTTGATTTCGGGGGCGCGACTATCCAATAATTTACGTCGGCTCATTGTCTGGGGGGCGCGAATACTGTTTGGCCCGCCGCATCGAGGGCGCGAGCACTGCATAATTCACGACGGTTGCTGGCCCCGGGGGCGCGAGCATTGTAATTTGCCAGGGCGCATGCGTGGCCTCAGGGGCGCGAGTTTCATATATTTTGCTATGTCCCACGGCCCCCTGGGAGGTCCGCGAGCCCCGGGGGGGCGCGGTAGATTGCGTTTTTCGGCTCTCCCCCTTCGCGCGTTCAATGGCAAAAGTTACAATGGGAAGCAGCAAGTGAAGCCATCATTGGAAAGCTGGAAAACTGCAACTGGCGCAGGGGGCAGCAAACGTTCGCCCTGCCGCCTGGCGCCCCCGCAGGGGGGCCGGCGGATCTTTGCCGACGCTGGCCCCGCGGTGTTTTTTGATCGGCTGCATCTCCTGAGCGGCGATCGCGTGCGTCAAGGCGTCGAGGTGGAGTTTCCTGTAGTCGGTCACGAAATCTTTTCCGCGCCCGTCATCAGCCTCGTCCGAGAAGGTCTCCTTGGCGACGCAATCGATGCCGCGAGCGGCGGTGGAAGAACAGAGCCTGAGTTTTTCGTGGTACGTCAATGGCGCATGGTAGACGCCGTCTGGTTGCGAATAATGACCACGCCTGAGTGCTCGAAGTCCGCCAACGTCGTTGCATTGACCTCGTCGCCGCCGACGCGCATGAAGTTCGGCCCGTAGGTGATCTCGCAAGTTTTGTTCGCGCGTCTCCACGTCTTTACCGCGATCTCCGCGGCGCTGTGGAGGTCGCGAACCTTGCGGGAGATGTCGGGGCGAGATGCCATCCCCGCGCTTTGCTTCAACGTGGCGCTGCAGCGGGCGCACTCCCACAAGCGCGCCTCGAAGGGGCCATCCGTGCCCACCGCGCGTTGCAAACCGGGCCCTGGCTGGAGCAAGCCATCGGCGCCCGCAGCTGGCGACGCGTAGACGTCGCCCCCGTCGCTCGGCAAGCCCGCGTCCGCGCGCGCCGTCTTCGCGGAAACTCCTTTCAAATCTCCGCCCTCCTCGAGCGCCCCCGGATCGGCCGCGCGCAAGTGCATCTCCACCGACGGGGCCGTCGGGCCCCAGAGCCCCGCGCAACCGCCCTCCAATATCCTGGCGTCGCGGCAACGCGCTGGCGCAAGCGCTGACTGAGGCTCGACGACGCCGTAGGCGGCGCCCTTGGGACTGTCGCGGCGGAAGACGTTTTCCGCAGTCTCCTTTGTGAACTGAGGGGTCTTGATCGCGCTCCGCTGGGAGCGGTCCAACTCGGGCTCGTTGCACCCCATTGGCCGCCATGGTCGCGCTCTCCTCGTCGAGCGCGGTCTTTGTGCGCAGCTGTGCCCAATCGGCCACCGAGACGATGCAAGTGGCCACCTCGCGCTCGCTGTTCTTCCTCTGAGCGACCGCAGTCTGTGAGCCGCGAAGCACTGCCCTGGCGAAGCGGACGTGGTCGACCCCGCGTTGCAGACGCTTGATCTGGAACTCCACGCCAGCGACGGCATTCGCCATGTCCGCGGCTACCTCCAGCATCTCCCCATCTCGGAAATCAGTCACTTTGGCGAGGGCGCCGTCGAAGCTGAGGATCTCGCCGACGCCCCCCGCCGCCCGCGCCGCGTCGAGCAGCGCCATCGCTGCATTGTTCTCCGCGTACGAAAGGATGACCGCGATCCCGCTGAAGACGGTGCGCGGGCGGTCGGAGCGGCGCGCGCTATGCCCCGCGAGCCCCGCGCGAGCGAGCGATAAGTGGTCGACGCCGACAATCTCGTTCGGCAGCTTCAGCACCCGCGGAAGCAGCGCGGCCGGCCGATCACCGAATAGGGGGTGAGGGGCAGAAGGGGGGGGCGGGCGGGGGGGGCGGGGCGAAGGAGGGAACGGGGGAGATGAGGGAGAGGAGGGAGAGGAGGTAGAGGAGGCAGGGGGAGGAGGGGGAGGAGGGAGAGGCTTGGAAGGTGAAAGAGGGGGTCTGCAGCAGGGGGTCTTCAATGGGGGCTGACTGGCCCATGCGTGCTCAATGTATCGCTTATGCATGTGAACGGGATTGATTGGCATCCAATGTTGGCGGTCATGGAGGGCCAGTCGCTCGTGCCCGCGCGTTGCCCGCGCGGGCAAACGCGCCGTCCATCCATGATTGTTCATGCGCGCGGGCGTTCTTGCATATTGCGCGTGGGGCGGCGAATTGGACTGCATGTGTGTCTCGATTGCGATTGATGTTCGCGTGCGTTCGCAAGCGATGACCTGTCGACCCCCAAGACAGATTCGGAATGGGTCCCGCGATTCCCCCAAAACGTCGATTCGCATTTTTTCCGAACTTTGAATTCGCATTTTTCGTTTTTTTCCCAACATGTGAATTCACATTCTGGCCACTTTTGCATAAAGCTTCCTACACAAAATTCCAACATTTGAATTCACATTTTTCGAAAGTGCGAATTCACATTTTCCTTTTTTCCCCCAAAGTGTGAATTCACATTTTGCTTTTCCCTACAATGTGACTTCACATTTTGTCCTGGCGTGCAAGGTCCCAAAAACTGATTCGCAGTGCTCCGCGCGGCAGATCGGCTGGGCACATTTTGACACTCATCTAACCGCTTCTGCTTATTCAATTTTTTCTTTGCGCCTTCAGCGCACGTTGCCTTCGTCGCGTTTCCCCAACTCCCCGCTTCTTTGCTTCGTTCCCCCTCAAGTCTCGCGCGCGGGCGCAGGCGGGGAACTTCAACTGGTTCCCCCGCCGAACACAGCAATCGAGGATGCGTCGCCCATGCATGGCCCATAAAGACACCATTGCCGGGGCCCTGCGCCCGACCTCCACATTCATCCTCCAAGAGGCGAAAGGCGGGAAGATGAGGAAGAGTCAGTTTATCCTGCGCGCAAGAACCGTAGAAGAACTTGATCAGCTCAACCTTGGCTTCGTCAGTGAAGATTTCGAAAAGTTTGGCCATGGCCTCCCGCCATTTCCTGTGTTCGGCGCAGAATTTTTGGACCATGGGGAATGTGGCATCCTTCCACAAACCGCGCGCCTGCAGAGCCCTCATGAACGCGCGCGGGTGGGGACGCGGAGAGTCGCTCTCGATGTAGTCGGGGAAGGCGACGCCCCGCGCTTCACGAGTGAACTTCTGTCCGGCGACCCCTCGGCGCAACGAGCGTCCACGCGGGTCTGGGATGTAGTAGTCGACGGCAGGGCGACTGCCGTTCGGCGCTGCTGTAGCGGGCGAGGCAGCGCGCGATGTGCGCGCCGACCACAGCCTGGCGCCGATCCGTCTTGCCTTTGGCGTGCTCTTGCAACTCAACCAAGGAAGGCACTTGGTGGACACGCAGTCAAGGCTCGCCACGGGAGTGGTCAAGTGCTCCAGGATCATCGCGCACCACTCGGCGGAGCTGTCTGCAACGAGCGTAGAGGCGTCGTCACTTTTGTCGAACAAGTTGCCCCAATCTTCCCAATCACCGAACGATCCTTGCCGCCGCATGCCTCCCACGTCTGCATCGTCGTTTCGTAGTTAACCATGGGCTTTTGCGACGAGTTGGCGTCGCACTGCGCGAAGAGGCGCAGGTTCGACTTCCCGATGGCGGCTGCGATGCCATGCCATTTCGAAACGCCCTGTTTCCCTGGCTTGCGCGCCCCAGGTAGGCAGTCTATGTGTTCTCTCTCTCTCTCTCTCTCTCCCTCTCTCTCTCTCTCTCTCTCTTTTTTTTTTTTTTTTTTTTTTCTCTCTCTCTCTCTCTCTCTCTCTGTTCCCTACCTAGGCTCTGCCTAGAAGGGTTCTTACTCTCTTAGCTTAAAGGGGCCGGGCAGTGCAAAGCGCCCCGGGCGGTTCCCCCAGTCCCCTGGGAGCGGTTCCCCCAGTCCCCTGGGAGCTTTAGCTTTAGCTTTAGCTTTAGCTTAGTTTTAGCTTAGCTTTAGCTTAGCTGTAGCTTAGCTTTAGCTTAGCATTTCGCTTAGAGTTTCGCTTAGCGTTTAGCTTAGCGTTTAGCTTAGCTTTAGCTTAGCTTTAGCTTAGCTTGAGCTTAGCTGTAGCTTAGATTTAGCTTAGCTTTAGCTTAGCTTTAGCTTAGCTTGAGCTTAGCGTTAGCTTAGCTTAAGCTTAGCTTTAGCTTAGCTGTAGCTTAGCTTTAGCTTAGCTGTTGCTCAGCTTTAGCTTAGCTTTAGCTTAGCTTTATCTTAGCTTTAACTTAGCTTTAGCTCAGTTTTAGCTTAGCTTTAGCCTAGCTGTGGCTTAGCTTTAGCTTACCTTTAGCTTAGCTTTAGCTTAGCTTTAGCTTAGCTTTAGCTTAGCGTTACTGTTACTACTAATGCTGCTTTCCTAGGGGTTCCAACTCCTAGGTAGGGTCGCACTGGGATAATTTTTATATATATATTTTTATATATATATACCTATACGACCGCCCTGCGGGCGATGAGGAGGTTGGGGGGGGATTGAGATCAAATGCCCACCCTGACTGACCTCCAGCCTGTCACCTTGATATCATCTCTCTCTCTCTCTTTCTCTCTCTCTCTCTGTGTCTCTCTCTCTCTCGCCCTGTCTCTCTCTCTCTCTCTCTCTCCCTCCCCCTCTCTATCAGAGTCTTCCTCCATCACAGTGATGATCGCGATGACGATGAGATCCCACTATCTACCTATCCGTCCACCGACCTATCCGTGAATCTCACTGTCGATCTCACTATCGACCTTATAAGAAAAATGAGAGAGGCCGCCGCAGGCGCCGAAAAACGATGCGTTGTCGGACAACCACAGGACAACCATCGGCACAACCACCAGGCAACCATCAGGGCAATCACAAGACGACCACGAGACAACCATCGCATACTAGGTGGATTGGATTGGATCATATAATACAAGGTAATATAAGATAGATACAAACTGGGATGGATATAAGATTTGTGTGTCCTGGGGCCCCTTCAGAGACGCTGGCGCTGAGTTCGGCCGCGGCAGGGGCCCCAATGGCAACGAGTGCTCTGCAGAGACGCTCTGCTCGGAGACGTCCCCCGCCCCTCCTGGGATTTGTCGGCCTCGCCGCTCTCTGTTGTGACGTCGAGCACTCGCGAGCTGGGCCTCAGGGCTTCTGCTCGGAGCGTCGTGGAGGCCGAGTCCGCGCTTGACGCTCTCTCGAAGAGTCTGGCTGGCTCGAGGGCAGATCGCCGCAACGCAATCGAGCTCGCTGCGGTCAGGGATTCGATGGCGGCGGCGGGGCACCGAATGCGCTGGCTGCCCCATGGCCGGGCGCTGGCCGACCCGCTCACCCATCCAGATCCCGCCAAGGGAAATGTAGCTCTGGCGGATCTGCTCGGACGAGGGACTCTCTGCCTCGTGGATGAGGGAGGCCGCGCGGCGAGCGTGCTCTCAACCTCGCCCTTGAGAGCAGGTCCCGCGGAGCCTCTCGGAAGGCCCTGGTGGAAGAAGCCGCGATCAGGGATCGGAGGGAAGTTGAGGTTTCGAACGCGGGGGACTCCGACGATGTCCCGGGGCCACATGCTAAGGTTAGAGAAGCGAAGGAGGGGGTTAGAGGGAAGCGTGGAGGAGAAAAGAGGGAGGTTAGAGGAGGACGAGGAGGAGGACGAGGAGAGCAGGAGGAGAGCGCTCAGGGAGACCCCAGCTCCCGAGATCCACCCTGCGTCACGCTCGGCGACGTGGGCGACTACCAGGCCGTCGAGCCCGCTGAAGTTGGGGCCGGTGTCCCCGTGCCCCCCCGCTCGGGGCCCCGGGGTTCCCTCTCCTTTCTCTCTCTTCGGGCTCTCCGTTCCCTTGCGCCCTCCCCGCGGCCTTTTGTGGCTTAGGGTGCCTCTGCGCGTAGAGGCACGAACATGTCCTAGCGCACTGAAGCCGCTCGTTATCTCTCTTTCCGTCCCCCAGGTCGTCATCAGTGGTCGCCCGCCTATCGACGAGCGGTCGGACGGGGAGGGGTGGGGGAGGGGGAGGAGGAGAAGTGGGAAAGAAGAAACCGAGGCGGAGGAGGAGGAGGAGGAGGAGGAGGAGGAGGAGGAGGAGGAGGAGGAGGAGGAGGAGGATATGGATGCGGCGGCTGAGAAGGCGGCCATAGGCGGAGGCGAAGGAGGAGGAGGAGGAGGGCCTGGAGGCGGAGGAGGAGGAGGAGGACCAGAGCAAGCCCAGGATGCATCAACGATGCTGCAAAGTACCTCCCATCCCAGGCCCCTTCATCAGAAACCTGCGCAAACGGTGGGAATGTGTCTTCTTGAAAGACGGGGTGCACTTAAGCGAAAATCTTGTTTTGAAACTTCACCGCCCATTCTTGCAAATCGAATCTTTCCCCGGAGGGGAAAAAGGAGGTTAGAACATCGAACTCCCTGCGCTACCCACGCCCAGAGGGCTGGTGGGATTTCCGACATTGTGGATTTTCTGGAGACGTGCCTGCCCCTTTCTCCTTCTCCCTGTCCCCTCCCTCCCTACCTCACCTTCCTCCTTCACTCCTCCTCATCATTATCCATATTCGCCTTCTATTCCTCTTTCCCTCCATCCCGTCCCTGCCCAAAAGAGACCGGGGGGCTCATCGCCACCAGCATAGTTGAATAACCCCATCCGACTGGATGCCAAACCAACCACACCCTTGAACCCGTTACAACGTTTCACGGGACTTGTGACCGCTCAAAATTTTGACGGTCCCCTCGCAGCAGATTCCCTGGTGTGACCGTTGTCGTCGTCGTCGTTGTCGTCGTCGTCGTCATCCTTCATCGTCTTTCCCTTTCTACTATTCTTGTGTTCGCCCGGCGGCGAATTGCGACGGCGACCACCGCGACCCGAGGACGTCTGCCAGGGGGGCCTCGGC